GTCAGGGCAGTGGAGGCAGGATGCCAATGTGGGAGGCTCGGGGCATCCGTGGGCCTCTCCCTCCATCCCTCCCTCCTCCCTCCTCCCTCCTCTCTCTCCCCCTTGTTTCAGAACAGGGGAGTTACGGATGGATGGAGCCTGTCTCCTAGTTACGGGGGCTGGGCCAGGGCTGGGGTGGGCCGTTGTGCCAGGCTTGCTCAGAGAAGCTTTGAGCTACCCGCAGTGGGACTTGGCTCCAGGGGTGCTCTGTGCCCCAGGGTATCCTGGATTTGGTAGTGGTGGCCAAGGAGGCTGTTCTGGGGGGCTCAGTGGGGTGAAAGCTTCTGGGGCAGGTCCCCTGCCCCCCCACCCCTGGTACTAGGGGTGCTCCAAGTAGGAGCAGGAGAGAAGTTTCCATCCTGCCCCATTGGGCGGGAGGCAGGCCCTGGGCAGGTGGACCCCACCATGGTCTTTGCTTCTGTTCTGCCTGGGGGGGCACTCTAGCGCCCCCTAGTGCCTCTGCAAAGCAGGGTGAAGGCCCTGGGGCTGTGCTGGGAGCAGGGGCTCAAGCACCATGGGCAGTGGGCAGGCAGTGGGGGTGGAGCCAACCTGGACTGGAGATGGGGGCCCTGGGCTCTGACCCCAGGGCTGCCCAAGCACGCTCCTTCCATCTGTGACCAGCCCCCAAGGGGTGAGGGGCACCTCCCTGGGCTGACATCACTCGCATGGAGGGCAGGCTGGGAGCCCAGACTGAGATAGCTTGGGGCTGAGACAACATCACCCTTTCCTGGCCCTGCCCCAGGGCCCTCAGGTCTTATCTGTGCCCCACCCCCACCCCATCCAACTGTGCCTGGGACAGGTTCCCTGACCTGTCCGCTGCAGGTTAATGGTTACCCCAGGCGACATTGGACATTGGAGTCACCCTTGCACTTGAACCTGGTGTCTTCCAGGGACTCTTTCAGGTTCAGTCCCCTTCCCTGGCTCGGGCTGCCTGTGTCCAGGGGACGGGGGAGGGTGTCTCAGTCATGCAAAGCTGCATTAGCAGAAACACCGCAGTGAGAGGCTGTAACAAACGAAGTGTATTCTCCCTCAGTTGAGGCGGCTGGTAGTCAGAGGTGGGGCCGGCTCCCTGTCACTCTGGGGAGCTTCTCTAGTGTCTCCTGGGAGCTCTTGGGTCCTCTTTCTGTGCTTGCTTCTCTCCCAGCCTAACCTGCTGCTCTTAGTTCTCAAAGTGATTACGTCTGATACACACATAGACACACACACAGTGCTGTTCATAACCGATGGGCTGGGGCAGGTGGGGAAGACCTAAGAACCTTCTCCAGCTGAACCAGACCGGCCGTGGGCCTGAGGGGGCAGACGGAACCACAGGCCCCTGAGCTAGCACAGAAGGGCCGGCAGGCTTCCTGGAAGAGGTGGTGCAGCCGCAGGGACCCCTGGGACCTCTCCAGTGTTGCGGATGGCCTCCCGTGAGCTTGTCCTTGGCTGGGGTGCCCCCTGTGAGCTCGTTGTCCGCTGGGGGTACCTGCCAGTCCCAGGGCCGCTCAGCTTCCCATCTCCCTGCCCACAGGTGCCCATCATCCCCGTGGTCTACTCCTCCTACTCCTCCTTCTACAACCCTGAGACTAAGCTCTTCACCTCAGGTACCCCCGCCCCCCGTGCGCATGCAGGTCCACTGGGGTCACGGGCCCCGATGTGTTTCCCACTTCCAGTGGGCACTGTGGCCAGCACTCCACCACACACTGGATAGACGGATGGGTGGACGGGTGAATGGATGGTTAGGTAGTTGGTTGGTTGGGGGATAGATAGATGGATGGGTGGCTTAATGGGTGGGCGGAGCGTCCCAGCCTCCCATCTCATTAAGTCTTCCAGCGGTCCTTCGAGGCAGGTGGTATTGCCCCCATTTTTAAGACGAGAAAACAGGTTCCAAAAGGGTTGCCAGGTTCACACAGATTGTGCTGCGGTGAGGGGGGGTCTCTAAGCTGATACAGTCAGACCCCAATCTCCAGGTAGAGGTGGTGGGGCCAGCCCGGCTGGATCTGGGGCCTCCAGGTACCTTGGCACCCACTGGCCACAGAGCTTGAGGCCTCTGCCCCTCCCCTACAAGCCCAGGTTCCAGGTGGGGTGCCGTGCCCCTACCCATGGGCACCCAGCCCCCAGGTGGGAAGGTGGAGAGTTGAAGGGCAGCTCCCTCACATCTGTGGAGGACAGGTGTTAAGTGAAGGGGTGGGGGCGACCCAGCAGGGGTGCAGGGGGGTGGGAACATTCTGTATGGTGGGTGGTGATACAGGGGTGAATACCAGTGTCACGACCCCAAACTGCAGGCATCTTGTGGTGTCTAAATCACACCTCCATTAAAACAAATAAAGAGACCAGGCCTCTGCAGTGTCAGGGGAGAGCCCACAAAGGCTGCCCGTGAGGCCTAGCGGTCGGTCGTGCGCCTGGATGGTGGGCTTCAGCTGACACCTGCCCCCTCACAGGAACAATTAAGGTGGAAGTGCTGGACGCTGTCCCCACCACCGGCCTCACCGTGGCCGACATCCCCAAGCTCATGGACACTTGTCACCGGGACATGAGGAACACCTTCTTCCGCGTGTCCAAGATGCCACAGGAAAATGGGGCCAGCGAGGGACTGTGAGCCCAGCCAGCCCAGTAGCCACGGCAGTTGGCTGCAGGTGGGCAGGACAGGTGGGGGCTGGCAGAAGACAGTACCAGACATCACCGTGCCTCCTCTGTTGCTTGTGGCCATTCATCGGGCTGTGGGCATGGGCGGCCCCTCCTGTTGCTAACCTCAAGTTGAGACCACTGACTTCCCTCAGAGGGAGGCTGGGCGAGCGAGCCCTCCAGCGCTGAGGGACGGACCCCCAGGCCTCTTGAGTCACGGGGTGTAAGCATTCTCCAGCCTGAGCAGCCGTGATGGGCTGAGCTAGCAGGCCTTAAGCCTTGGGACCAACCTGTGTGAGCAGGCCTCCCTGCGGGGGCTCTGATAAAGCTGTCTGGGACCTTTGGGGTACAGAGGACGGGTTCCCAGGCCAGGCTGCCTGCATCAGCCTGTCTCCCAGCCTGGCTGCAGGAAGCCTGAGGGGGGAGTCTGCAGATCCAGCCACCAGCCAAGAAGACAGGCTGTAGACGTGGGGCTGTGCTTGGCTATTTGTATAAACCACTCTTAAAAACCTCTGGGGAGCTCTGGTCACTGGGAAAGGGGGAGGTGGGACGCCCTTGGTGGGGACGCATTGTAGGAGCCCCCAGGCTGGGAGGCAGTGTCCTCTCTGTGGCGTTGGATTTTCAGTGGGTGTGAATGTCTGCCAGCTGGGGGTAGTGGGTGTGCGAGGGAGCCTGGGGGGGACGGAAGGAGGCTATAGGTTGTTGGAGCCCCTTTGGCCTCTGGTTGGGGGGTCTCTCCATGGCCAGGGTCACCTCCACAGGAGCTCCTGCCCTGCCCATTTTGGAGCTGGGGAACAGAGTCCCTCTTGGGGCGGCAGGAGACCCTTCCTACCCCTCCTCCCTCCAGTTGGCCTGCAGCAGTGGGTTAGGGGGTCTTTCCCCCCGCCCTGCTGGAGGGTGGGTTGCTAACCTGCTAAGGCCAGCCCTGGCTCCTCAGGGGTGAGGATTGAGGATGGAGCTGGGGCAGCCTGCTGACCCAGGATAACAGTAGACGCCTCCAGGTATCTTGGTGTGTGGGGGGGTACCAGCCCCCAGTGGCACCCCAAGTCTCATTTTTATTTGACAGACCAGGGGACGGGGGCCCCTCCCAGGAAGGAACCCAGCTGGACTCGGCAGGGAGTCCTCGTACCTTCCCTCAGCTGTGGGGGACAGTGGGGCTCACCCAGGTTGCTAGGCAGTGGGGTACTGGTTGGCCTGGGCTTGGCTCGGAGGCAAGGGTGAGGGCTGGCGGGGTTCACACACCAGAGGGAGGGTCCCATCTCCAAGCGTGCTGCTCATGTGGCTTATTGGCCAGGAATAGGCTGCGGGCGGGCTGCCCAGCCATGGCAGCTGGGTAGGGTGTGGGCGAGGAGATGAGGTCCCACAGGCTGTCAGGAGTCAGAGATGGGGCTGGCTCCCAGGGGGCCTGGCCAGTCACAGTTCCTTCTTACAGGAGCCTATGGTGGGGGGTGAGGTCAGAGGGCCTGAGGACTCGGGGCTCACCACCCCTCACCCTTTCCAGCCCATGTTGGGGGGACTCGGGGCTCACCACCCCTCACCCTTTCCAGCCCATGTTGGGGGGACTTGGGGCTCACCACCCCTCACCCTTCCCAGCCCATGTCGGGAACTGCTCTGAGGTTCCCTCAGTAGGTCTATGGCTGGCTACTCTCTGCCCCCACCCAAAGCCAGCCCTGTCCTGAGGTGGCCCTAGGCCCGGGTCTGGGTGGGGGGTACTCACAGGCCCCCAGCTGCTCCTCCAGGAAGGAGACCTGCTCACTCAGGGAGTCGATGCGTTCCAACTGCTGGACCGAGTGGACCAGGAGGCTGCCTGGGTCTGGAAGCCCGAGCTGCAGGGCCCGTGAGGCCAGGCTGTGCAGGGGGGCCAGCACATGCTGCAGCTTCTGCTGGGAGACGGGGCTGCTCAGGGAGGCAGGCCCAGCTCTTGGCTGCGGCACCCCAGGCTTCCACTAGAGGGAGCTCCTGCTCTGAAGAGCCTGGGGATGGGGGGGCACCCCAAGCACGTACAGGCTTGTGGCCAAGTGTGGGCTGGGCTGGAGCCAAGCTTGGTTCCTTCTGACCTGGGGTTCCCAGTCAGAGTCTGGGCTGTGGGTAGCAACCTCAGACCCCAACTGCCCAGCCCAGCAACCTTGCTGCTCCCTGCAGCAGGGGTCCCCACTGCTGACCAGCACCCCACCACCCCGCCCTGTGGCCTCACCTGCTCTAGTAGGGCCACCCTGGACTGCAGGCTCCGTACTTCCTGCTCCACCACACTGTCCACTCCTGGGGGGCGGGGTGCAGGGTCAGCGCAGCCGGAGCCCCTGTCCAGGCTGCTCCCCCACCCCTAGGCTGCCCCCAGGGGCCCCTCCGCACCACCACCACCCCCGGCCCTCGTCTTGGCGTCCGTCAACGTGCGAGGTGGCGCGTGCTGCGCATCCAGTGCTAGGCTGTCGACATCGCATTATTACTCACGGTACGAGTTTGACGTGTCACAGCGCGTACCAAAAGTAATAATGCCTCGTCGCCAGCGGGGCTGGGCGTCTCGTCCCCCGGTGGCCGGAGGTCTTGTCCCCCGGAGGCCGGGCCGGAGGGGCCCAGGCTGGGTCTTCTGCTGAACCAAGGCCCTGGCAACCGTGCCCACAGTGCCCGCCCGGGAAAGTGCTCCCCACCCCGCCTGGTGGAGCGCCCGCCTGCCTGGAATGTTCCGGATCAGCCCTTTGAGTTGGGGCAGGCCCTTCCTGCTGACTTTTTTCACCTGTTCCCCCATGCTGCTGTCCACTCTCAGAGCCCCCCTGCCCATCCTCCCGGCCAGCAAGGGGACGGGTGAGTAGGGAGTTCACCTGGTGTGGGGCTGGGGGCCACCGTGGGGGGCTCTCCCATGGGCAGGCAGACTGTCCCGTCTGCAGACGGGTGGTGCTCCTCCCAACACCGGCACCAGTAGCTGCCCAGAGTGTTGACGCAGTGCTGGGGACACCTGTCTCGCCCAGAGCTGCACTCATCTAGATCTGGGAAGCCAGGAGCAGGTGTCAGGCAGGGGCTGCACCTGCAGGAGGTGGGGCCACCCACACTCAGCCTCCCAGGGATCCTTTCGGCCAGCATTGTATGAGGACAAGCAGGGCTGTGCTCATAGGACCCAGCCCAGCTGCCCCCTGACACACCCAGGCTCTGTCAGAGCACCCAGCCCAGCCCCCCCCACACCACCACCGCTGCTGGGGGTGCCAGGCCAGTGTTACCTGTCTGGCAGGTATTCCCCTGCCACCCGGCAGGGCAGTGGCATCGGCCTGGCAGGACACACTTCCCTCCGTTCTGGCATGGTGGCTGGCATATTGCTGTGGATGAGGGAGGCTGTCAGCCACTGGGGAGCCCCAGGGCCCTGCAGGGACACTGGCTGGAAGGTGCTTTACTCCTTAGAGAAACACAGTGGGTCCTTTGCCTGAGTCTGGAGAAGGCATCACTTGATAACTGGGTACTAGCTTTGGGCAGCGGCTACCAGTTAACTAGCTGTGGGTGGTGCAGGGCCCTGGGCCGAGGCCCTCACCTACTGCACAGGCCCCCGGGAGCCCGCTGGTCCTCTTCCAGCCGGGACAGCAGGCGTAGTGCAGTCTGGCCACGGCCGGCCCGGGGCTGCGGCGATAGCCCGTCCTGTATATGGTCCTGAGGAGGGGTTGCAGCTCAGAGGGCAGGACTCTCCCGGGCGTAGGGGCTCGGAGGGCAGGACTCTCCCGGGCGTAGGGGCTCGGAGGGCAGGACTCTCCCGGGTGTAGGGGCCTGGCGGGCAGGACTCTCCCGGGCGTAGGGGCTGGGTGGCCTCCGTGGGTACCACCTGTTTCCCCAGATAACACCAAAGTGGCACACTTGTTCTGCCTCCAGAAGCCACCCAGAGCCATCACCGTAGGGTGGACCTCAGAGGACTGCCCCCAGGGACAGCAGCCAACCTTGCTACAGAGACCCTCCCTCACTGAGGCTCAGGGGGGTTGAGGCTTGGCCAGGGCCCCAGTGCATGGCTGCCCCAGAGCGAGGGGGGTCAGTGTCTGCTTGTCCCATCTGCTGGGTTCCTTTACAGTCAGGGGTAGCTGTGTCCAAGGGGAGGGCCTCACCGAGGCCCCAGCAGGCTCCCTGTATCCCCCCCACACACACACCGCACTTGGTCCTCCCTGAGCTCTGGCCCGGAGGCCATAGGCATCTCACACTAGGTGGGCTCAAGCACTCCCTGGGAAGCCCTTGAGGTTGGGGCTCCCAGGTGGGACCCCGAGAGCTCCCCATTGAGCCCACTGTAGAGGCCTGGGCTGGCCTTCAGACCCCAGTACCCTCCCAGCCCAACAGCGGACTTGCCACCCCCCATGCTGCCCCTGGCCTGTTATACTGGCTCTGGGTCCCCCCTTCTCAGCCAGGAGAAGGGTGTCTCACCAGGGCGCCTCAAAGGAGAACAAAGTTTCTTGAAGTCAGATTCTCAAGGCTCAGAATAAGGACTCGCAGCTCTCAAGCTGGTGCAGCTGGGCCGACAGGGTATCTCGGGGGGCGGGATAGCCTACTGCTTCTGTGGGGGCTGCTGTGAGAGAGGGGTGCCCACTGGAGCCCCAAGGGTAGGGCCAGAATGAGCAAAGCCAGTTTTGAGAGGCGGACCTCATCCCAGCAGAGAGAAGCCCAGGGGGAGCAGGGGGCACCCTGTAACTGGATGGACAACCCTTCTAAACTGGGGGTTCCCTGAAAATTAGAGGCCCTGTTTTAGGGTGGTAACGAATTCTAGGGACTGAGAAGACGGGCTTTTTGGAGCTCAGGCCCTGCACGGGCTGCTGGGCCCTCTCCCACCTGGGCCGGCGGGCGCCTTCTCACCAGGCGGGGGTGGTGGGCTCTGGGTGGCCCTCGGGCCAGGCAGAGCTCCGACGGGGGTGGCACTCACCTGTAGGTGCTGCAGGCCCGGTGCCCGTCACAGGTGGTGAGAAAAGGCTGGTACAACCGTTGCACGAAGGACTCGGAGACTGTACTTTCTGGCACCCTGACGGCACACACCCTTCGGCTGGGGATGCCTGGGGGTCAGTGAGGGAGCCCGGAACCAAGGCCCTTCCGGTCCCACCCAAGGGAGCCAAGAATACGTACGGAGCAGGCCCCCCCCCCCCAACTGCTGCCACGGGCGGGGCAGGGCCCTCAGGAGGGGCCTGGAGGGCAGAACCGCATCTTCCTGCAGCCTGGGGGCTGTTGGGGAGGGCCCCTGGCACTGGCCACCCACCTGGCGCCCCAGCTCACCCTGGCCGGTAGATGTGGTCCGTACCACCCGCAGCCAGGACCAGGAAGTGCACCAGGAGCAGCTCCCGGGAGCTCCACACGGCCATCTCTCTGGGGGCCAGCCTGCTCCTCAAGGGGGCCTGTAGCACAAAACAGTGTCTCCCTAAGTCCCAGTGCAGACCCCCGCAGTCCCCCACAGGCAGGTGCCATGCCCCCCATATACACCTCGCCAATCAAGAGCCCCAGAGCAGACCACGGTGGTGATGCCAGGCTCAGGCAAGAAGCAGGGAGCTGATGCCTTGTGTCAGGGCATGAGGAATCTGGGCCCTACTCCCAGAGCCCCAAGTCACTCGAGGAAGGTGGGGTACAGGGCAACCCCTGGGCCAGTTCCCTCCAGGTTCGGCACCCTGCAGCGCCCCCCACCCACACCATCGGGGTCACGGGTGTCAGTGAGGTGAAGTGCCAGGCAGAGCCTCAGCCCTCCTGCCTGACCTGAACCTTCTGAGCCTGTTAGCTAGTCAGCCCAATGGGGACCGTCCCTGTGGGCCAGGGGGCAGGCCCTAGCCTGACAGGAGGTGCCCACTGGAGCGGGGCCTGTATGGGGTGGCTTTTCCCACGCTGGGCTCTTACAGGCCTGGGATTTGAGTGGGTGGAGCCTCCAGAGCCCCCAGAACGGGGTCTGGGGGAGCCCTGGGGGTGGGGGTACTGGCCCAGCCCCCCAGCCATTGGAGCCAGGGCAGCCAGTGAGAATTCCTTGGGTGTGTGAGGCACCAAGCGGCTGTGACACATTGCGGGACCTTTGGAGTGGGGCTGCCTCATCTCTGCTCTGGGGAGGAAAGAGCCCCGGGGGGGGGGAGCTGCGGGCTCCCCATGTGTGCAGCCAGGGGTCTGTGAGCTGGTGAGCCCCCCATGTCCTGGGTGCCCCATCTAAGGCCTTGCATGAGTGCTTCTCAAATGGTGGGTCTCCCCATGGGTGGCCCAGCCCCGCAGGGCCCAGTGGTAGAGGTAGTGTCTTCACCTTCTTCCAGCCACAGTGTCTCCCCTCCTCCCACTGGGCTGGTCAGTCCCCTAAACAGTGACAACCATGCTGGTGGCTGAGCCGAGGCTGGCCCCGGGGGACGACGACAGCTCCCCAAGGACACGGGGTGAGGTCACTGCTAATGGGCAGTGTGTTATCCACAGCCTCACACCATCCTGCACAGGCCCGAGGGCAGCGGGGGAGGGTGCGGCGCCCCTGCCCCATCTCTGGCCGCAGAACAGGTGGCAGGGTGGAAAGGGGAGGGGACTGAGTTGGGGGGCAGTAGGGCATCTCAGCGGAATGTCTAGGCAGAGGCAGGTCTTGATCTAGACATTAATTTTTGGGGGGAGCACTGTTAGGAAGTCCTAGGAAAGAAAAAAAATGGTGGAGATGGGTGGATGTGGAGGCTGGTGTGGAAGCCCAGGGTTGCTGGCCCATAAGGCCCCTGGGGTCAGCCTCCCCTTCATGTAATTGTCCAAACACCTGTCCACGGCATCAGCATGCTTATTTAAAGGTGTTTACAAGAGGATAGGGACTTTTAAAAAAGAGACTCGATTTTTGAAAGTCAAGCTGCCTCCAGGCCTGGAAGCTGCCTTGTCTGGGAGGGCAGATCTTGAGTCCCTTTGGTTCACAGCCCGGCTGGGGGGGGGGGAGCTGGCGCGCCTCCAGGGCCCAGTAACTTCAGGGTCCCCTCCGAGTGTCGCCATGGGCCCTGCTGTCCCCATCTACCCAACCAGCATGACCACAGCCCCCACCTGGGAGGCGGGGCCAGAATCGACTGCAGGGGCAATGGTCCTGGATGCACGTTTCCCAAAAGGGGGGGGGTAGAGGACGTCAGGGCCCACGGGGAGGGGCGTAAGGCAGAGCGAGACAGACAGCGCCCGCAGCCCAACGCACCGTGGATGCGCCCTCCCCGCTACCTGCCCCCGCCCCTACCCCACCCCTGCATGACCGGCTCTGTGGGGTGTAGGGGGGCAGGTGAACCCCGCACCTGAGACTGCTCGGCTAGGCTGCGGGGTCCGGAGCCTCCAAGCCCCCATTCGGGCCCTGGGGATCCGCAGGACCCGGATCATGGCGTGGGGGTGGGGAGGCAGCGCCCCCTCCCCCCCGCGCGGCGAGCCCCCGGGACGCCCCGTCACCAGCAGGGGGAGCCCTTTCCCAAGGCCTCTGGGCCCATTCTCCGGACCGAGACCCAGAACCGGGGGCTCCGGAGGGGCTGTAGGGGTACCCGCGTGGCCAGGCCCCGCCTCCTGGGGGCCGGCGTTGCCGCCCCTGGCCCGCTCACCTCTTGGGTCCCCGCGGTCGCTGTGCGTCGCCCCCGTGGGCGCCCCGCAGCTCCACGGCTGGGGAGGCCCCCTACTACCCCCTCCCCCGGGAGTTCGGGAGGGCTCTACCCTCGCCCCCCGCCCGGACGGCACGCAGACCCCCACCCTCCGCGCGCGCAGCGTCCGCGGCCCGGGCGCCTGCTCCCTCCGCACTC